AAGAACTGTTCTGGATCCACTGCCAGTGTCCTCCTCCAGATCTTTGTTATCTTCCTAAACTGAAACTCTGCTCTTAGAGAGCCCTGACTCTGCCTCCTCTCCCAGCCCCTTCTAGCTCCTGTCTGGCGAGGACCTCTTGTGAGTGCAGTTGTATGATGGTTGGCTTTTTTTTTTTTTTTTTGGTACTGGGAATCAAACTTAGGACCTCATGCTGGCCAGGCAGGCGCTGTGCCGCTGAGCTATATCCCCAGCCGATGGTTGGCTTTGTGTGACCGGCTTATTTCACTCAGCATAGTGTCTTTGTCAAAGTTCCTCCACACTGGAGCAAGGTCAGAATTTTCATCCGTCTGAAGTTTTAATAATAGCAGACACACACACACACACACACACACACACACCCGTCTCATCCATTCATCTGTGGACACTGGTTGCTGGCACCTTTTGGCAACCGTGTGTAGTGTAGCTATGAACGTGAGAGCACGGACATCTGTTCCTATCCCTACCTTCAATTCTTTTGGGTGCATACCCAGAAGTAGGGTTGCTGGATTTTTTGAGAAACTGTCACATTGCTTTCCGTAATGACTGATCCATCTGATATTACCACCACAATCCACACAGAGGAGGGCTGCTATTTTCCACGTCCCTGCTTCACTTGCTGGGTTTGGGTGGTGGCCATCCTAAGGCATGTGGGGTGGCATCACACTGTGGATTTGATTGGCAGCTCTCCAGCGATGAGTGCAGTTGAGAATTACTCATGCATTTCCAAAACCATCCTGAAGCACTTTCCTGGGGTTGCATTCCACGAACGGAGCCATTTGGGAGAACCAGGGCCATGCCCCTCCTTGGTTTTCCTTTCCCAGTTTCCTGCAGTCTTTCGGCTTGGACCAAGGTGGCCTCTGTCCTTCCCTGCTCCTCGAGGACTAACTCCACTACTGACACCCACACCTGCTCTCCTGGTTTGGGTCTCAGAGGCCAGTGAGAGGCACAGCTGGCTGGGCACCCAGACAGAACCCGGGCACCATCTCTGCCTCCCCATTTCCTCAGAGGAGAAGTCAGGGTCTTGGTAGCACAAAGGCACACAGAAAAACTGGTCTAAAAAGGAGGTCACTTACAGGGCTAGGGCAAGAGGCAGGCAAAGCCTAGAGGAAGGACAAGCCTCGCGGAAGGGGCTGGAGGTGCCCTGGGCACAGGTGAGCAGGAAAGAGTGGGTACATGGGCAGGCACGGAGCCTGTTAAGAGGAGACCCTAGCAGGGGCCAGGAAATTCCAAGCTCACCTGGATACAAGTGAGGGTGGGTCCGAAATCACGAGCCAGAGGGGAGGTGGTCCAAGGACCCAGGCCAGCCCCCACCCCGGCGGGCCTCCCGTTTCTGCTGCGTCTGCCCTCTGACCTACGTGTTCTGGCCCAATGTCTCTGGCTGGACACAAGGCCTCCTCCCTCCAAGTCCTCCCAACCACCCACGTAGACGGCGCAGCCTGAGAAGTCTCTACCTGAGCGGGTCCGGCAGGCATTAGCCCTCCGGCGCCACGTTGTCCTTGGGAAGGGGCCCAATCGCCTGATCCCCGGCTGCAGGGCCATCCCTGACCCCAGCAAGCCGACTCCCCGTGGCTCTTCCTGGGCGCCCGCAGGGCGTCCACGGCGCACGGGCGGCTCCCCTTGCCCTCCGGTGCGCCCAGCCCTGGCCCCCAGCCGTGCGCTCCCCACCGTCGCCACCTGGAAAGCAGGAAGCGGGGGACCGCCCCGCCCCGCCCCTCCGCGCTCCGGATCCTGGCGCAGCACCTGGCGAGGACCCGGCTCGCCGGCCACGGAGTCCGGGCCGCATGGCCCC